CAGCTCTTAATGGTGGTAACCATAAAGACAACATCCGCTTGTCTTGGCTTTCGCTGTCTGTAACACAGCTCTTTCCTAGTAGTTATCTTCAGAAATAGTTTTTAATAATAAAGCATACAAAAGTGCCTTCATAACTTGCTTATTAATATAGAATGTACTATTATTACCTACTACCTATCTTATATAGGAGTGATAGAACAGGTGGTAATTTGTTATTGGAGGCTGAGAATAGTGTCTTGTCTTAATAAATACATGTTAATCAAATAGGAAATCACTTCCTTACTTACTTAGTCCTGAACAGATTTTGCTAAATCAGTAGTATTGGAAATTTGAATCTGCATTTTTTTCTATTGCTAATAAGTACAACCAGATGGCCAGACTTCTAACATTTCAGAGGCATTATTATGTATGCATATCAGGAAATAGTTGCTGCTTTGGAAATTGTAGTCTAATTGACAATCAGGAAATGCATTTATAAGTTGCATCGTGATGAGATATTATCAGCTAATTGTCTGTCTTATTTTCAAGGTTATGCTTCGTTTTGATTGGTGGAACCGACATTTTTTAAAAAGGAACTTCCTCCAAGGCATAGTTTTATAAATTATTATTTTAGAGCAGGGCTATCAAACTCACGGGCCAAATGTATCATATGCTGGCCATACCCACGACTGGTTTAATGAAGGGAGGGGGGAAATCCTGATACATCACATGACACCGCCATGACGTGAATTTGACATCATTTTAGAGCATGGGATAGCAGGAAAGGGGTCTGTTGCTTTGACCACATTACTGTTTAGCATTGTGAGATGCATAAATAAGGCAGGAATGACAAGTTTGGCAGGCACTCTTATTTGGTTTCATTGTGGATAGGAAACCCTCAACCATACTGTATCATTTTTTTTCTTACATTTCTCTTTTCCTTTAAACAACTGATGCTGTTTCTTTGATGAGATTATTTGACACCTGTCTGTCTGGAAAAAAGTTGTTAAATAAAAATGTGAATAATTTTCAGATTCCCGCCACAAATTAATAATAGTCTCTATGAATTTCATTCAGTCTTTGTGTTCCTAGTAGAATGAACATCAGGAGAGAAGCTACTGGAAATCTGAAGAAGAGTGAAAAACTATATGACATAAATATTTGGGCTTTGTAGTGATATACCAAGTGGTTCAATTTCATACATAGTATCTACCAACTTTGATATAAATATAATTCTGATGTTTTTAAAACTTGATACATCATGAAACTGAAGCTTTAAACATGGTGATTTAGTTTACAAAAGGTAAAATATGGTGTGTTTTAAGTTAACAAACACTTTATACTACTTTGCAGTAGTATATTTGCACCATCTAGTGGTTATGTCAGAAAAAAAAATATCCTAGTGACCATAGCAAATGGGGAATTTCAAACAAAACACATATAATACAAAAGTGATGCAACCCCCCCCCCAGATTGAAAATAAACATTGCTTGCAGCTGGATAAACAATTTCAGTAAGTATTTGCTTATTCTGTTCTGAATGGTTGCTTTGTTATGTTAAATGTTTGCTTTTAACACTTTTAACTGTTGCACTTTCATCACTACCTTTACTGGCTTGTGTTTTTGTTATTTGTCATGCTATGTTATTAGCCCCCTTGTACATCATTTTGTGTGTGTGTGTATCAGGACCAACAGAGAACATAACTGTACATATAAAAGGAATTCAAGTAAACTGTTAACACTAGTTCAACAGCCTAGGGGATCAAGCATCTACAAACACTAGCAGGCATATTTTATCAAACCTTAAGAAAGGTTTAATAAAAACCTTTATTTAAGAAAAATCAACACACCATAAAGGAGAGTATTTGTAGCTCAGGACTGAAATTAGAGGTCTTTGGTGTTCTCTGAGCTTGGTTGTTTTCTTGCAGATGTTTCATTACCCAAACTAGGTAATGAAATGCTAGCACTGATGCTATTACTTAGTTTAGGTAACAAAATGTGTGCAAGAAAATAACTAAGCCCTTGTTTAAAAATACAGAAGATCCTGATGCCACATGATGTTATATCTATTTTCAGTAAATGGGAGTTTACTGTAAATTTGTACACTATATATTCAAGAAGTAATAAATTAAATCAAAAGATAAGTTCAGAGAAACTAAGGACCCCTCAAATCAGCAGTTATCTTGAAATAAATTCTAGTATACACCATGCACCTTACTTGTAGACATGTATAGAATTAAATAGATTTTTCTGATTTGAAGAAAGGTGCATATATACAAGTGGTGTCCACCATTTTTAAAAACTAATTGTTCCTTTTTTAATGAAAATTTCCTTCAAGCTTCAATGCTGTTCCAAATCAAAAAGTCTGAAAACTGGATAAGACAACAAGATTGGACTGAAAAAATCCAGTTAGTCACTAGATAAAAAGCAAACTGTTTTCTGAATTGCTTTCCTGCCATTGAGTGGTAACATTTTTTCACTGAAGATTTGTTAACTCTAGATGTGGATGTTTTGATATTGCTGTTTCCCTAGGCATATTCAAACAGTTTTGGAGTTGAGAGGAATTTCCTGTGTGAAAACATTAGAAATAAACTATGTGCCAATTGTCAACGCAGTAATTGCCTGCCTTTGACTGTCTCCCAGCAACCATTCCAAGTGTCAACAAAAGCTTCCTTGCTCATACGTTTCTAGAAGTATTTACTAGGGGGAAGGTAAAAGTATTTTGGTTTCAGAAAATGGCTGGACAAAACTAAAGGGATGGCAAGCCATGCCATTTCAGAATTTAAAAAGAAATCGCATAAAATGTTTCTTGATGATTAACAAGCATGACAAAATTGTAGCTATTACTTTTTAAAAGTAAATATATTTAAATCTGCAAAAAACCTATATTGCAGGAAATATAGGCCAGATTATGAACTGATTGCTATTTATAAAAAGCTGGTTTATTTGTAGTTGATATATTTTGTCATTTATACATATACCCAAGTAATCAGTGGGCAAGCACTATTTGCAACTGGTTTCAACCTTTTTACTGTTTTGTTGATTTAGATTGGAAGCAGGAATTTTGGGGAAACCAAAAAAAGGAGTAGTTCTTAAAATAAATTTGACCTCAGTGATATAAGCAAATACAGAGTTCCTGAAATAATGTAACCCTTGTTAAAAATACAGAAGATCCTGATGCCACATGATCTTATATTTGTTTTCAGAAAATGGGAGTTTACTGTAAATTTGTACACTATATATTCAAGAAGTAATAAACTAAATCGAAAGATAACTAAGATAACCATTTTATTCTCCGTCTTCCGAATATCAAAACAAAATATATTTGTTTTGGAATGGAAAATGAAGTCAAAATCTCTCTACTTATGCTTTCATTAAAAAAAATTAAGAGTTTTATAGAGAGGGACTCTGTCCTCAAATGCAAGGCAGCATTTTAAAAGAATGGAGTCAATTAAAATTAACTAAAATCAACTAAGAGAGACAGCATGCCACTTAAAAGTGTTCAATTTTGATGAGAGATCTAAGTTCAAGTCCTTGCTCAGCCATAGGGGTCTGGGTTTCTTTCACGCAACATACCTAAGAAGATTTTGGCAGGGATCTGTTCTCTGAGCTTGCTATTTAGCTCTTGGGATGTTTTGTTACCAAACTAGGTAACATCTTCAGTGGGATTTTTGGGTGAAGTAGATTGGCCTTGTGACAAGACCAAGTGACCACCCAGGACCTATATAAATGAACAAGACATTTCATCCAGAAATCCTGCTGAAGATGTTATCTAGTTTCATAACAAAACATCCAGAAGGTAAACAATAACCTCTGAGAACAAACACGTGCCAAAACCTACAACCCGGGGTACAAATGTGATTTTTTTTTTTTGGCTTGGCAACTTAGCAATGGAACTGCCAATCCCAAATGTGTTTGGTAAGCAAGGATTACCTGTATTGTCCTAAAATACAAGCATATTTTAGGAATCTCTCAATGATTTTCAAAGCTGCTGTGGTCTCCTTGGAGGGAGATGTGAATAAATAGTTAATATTCCTTGCTTTGTGATATATGAAGCAGGAAGCTCTTACTTTCTGGAATGTGAAGATTTGACATAAGACTACCTAAATGTTGGGCTAGGGTTGAGATAAGGGGTAGCATCATTAATGAAGGAACATAGGCATCACTAGTCTAATTTGTGCCCATGCAAATTGCATGCAATGTTCATCTTCCAATCTAGCTTCAGCATGTAAGTTGAATAAATAAGGGGAAAGTACACAGCCTTGTCATGCTCTTCTGGCAATCTGGAACCAGTCTTTCAGTTTTCATGTTTTGACCATACCATAGCTTCCTTACCTATATGTAAGTTATCTCATGAGGACAAGAAGATGATTGTCATTGAGTAGATAAAATTAGGAAGAAATCAATTTAGCAATAACACAGTCCTGTGCTTGCCATCAATCATTGCTCACAACTATCCATGGTATGGATAGTAAATCACTGGAAGCAACAACATGCATGTCTTATTCCCTGGTGGATTGTTGGAGAAGTGTGTTATTAGGATAAACAGCAAATATATATAAACTGAGCAGCTAACACATCTAAAAAACAAGACAAGACAATTTTCTAAAGCACAATACTTGGGCATTGAAATTTTATGTGAAGTTTTAACCTAAATAATAAGCCTTCTAAACTGAAGAAATGAGGAAACTGGATATAAATCATACTTGAAACCTGCGCTTTTACAGAAAAATTGTTGTATTTTGATGACTAGGATCCTAAGTGCATTCAAATAAAATCTGTATAACAGTTTTTTAATTGGGATATTAGTCTAGTATGCAGTAAGGCAATGATAACTATTTCCTCTCTAGAATAACTTACTTTCTTACCAAGAATGAATTCTCATAAAAATGTCATAAGCCCAGAATAATGAGCAACATTAAAACTGGTATTCCAAAGGGAATCATTTTTAAAAAATACCACTAATGCTGTAGTCCTTAATTTTTATTTTTTTTTATTTTCAAAATTCAAATGTGTTAGTATGACTGTACTCGATAACCATTTTAAATTGAATTTAAACATACCAGTATGTTCCGAGTTAAGAAATTTCAAAATCTCTTTGGAATACTAATTTCATATTTATAGATTACTTAAAAAGTATTTTTCTGGTAAAAAAAATCAACCTATTTCCCTGAATTGTTTCAAGACAGTTGATGATGTAAAGTTTAATATAAAATATTTAGTCACAAAATAGTATTGCTTTTATATGCACATAGTGGCAAGATTAATTTGCTCTTTTTCAATAAAAACTATACCATCTCCCATAAAATTCTAAACACATTAGGAAATGTGATGTAGAACAGAATTACACATATGAAAGAGGTACCAGCACAACAGTGAGATTATATTACATCAAAAAATTTTAATGGTCCCAAATATATACTCAACAACCAAGCATACACTCGGGGCAAAATAAAAATAAAATTATGACATAAAAGTGACATCTAGAATTCCATTCAATCTTTTAATTAAGGGACAGATATATCCCTCATCTCCAAACAAAAATCTGCAGTTTAAAGGGCAAAAGGGAACAGATTAAAAAAAGAGGAAACATGTTGAGCCCTCCCCAAAAAGTTTTTTTTTTAAATCTGCTGAAGTTTGACTAAAATGTTCAGAATGTGTGGTTTTAAAGGCAGGTCTCTTTATATAAAGAAGCTGCTGGCATTCTTAGCTAATGAAGAATGGCAGAAAAGCCTTTTCTTCAAAATCTCGTACATGGTCCAATAAATCATAATCTGATTGTAACAACTGAACAGCCAATCCAGAATTCCACCATCAAAACTCCTGCCCTGTTGGTGTTGTATTTTCCATTTCCTTCCCTGAGAAAAGGGCAAATGTGTGGTCCAAGCTGGAGAGGTCAAAGGCATGTTTTTTCCATAAAGCATAGTCTTTCCTCTTCTGCTCCGCCAAATTGGCACTGATTAGCAGAAATCTGTTTTAAAGTTGATCTGTGTTATACACAGTAATTCATTAGAGTTTATTATTTTTATAATATGGACTTCCCACTCTGGAAACCCGGAAACATAGTTTATATCATAATCCATACTGGTCTTCATACTTGTCATTATGAAGACTCTAACTTTGTTTTCTGTGTCAAAGGGAGAGTTTCTTCATCCTCTTCCTCATCGTCATCAGGATAGTCTACTAGCCCAACTAGTCCTCTCTGAAAAAATGAAAAACCATTTGTAAATGGAACTGAGTTTCATTCATAAATTTTTACCAATTAAACTGTTTCATGTAGAACTATAGTACTTTGAAAAACTTGTAAAACACAATATTTACAATATTTAATTACAATATTTATATTTAAATTATAATATTTATATTTAAAGTTTACAGTATTTAAATGAGAAATTATGAACATACTGAATCACCACCAAGTATTATTAATACAGAAACTCTGTAAATGGCTTTATTATTATTACAACTAAGAAATGTTTAGGTGATTTGTAAAGAATTAAGTTGCCTGAAATTTAAAGATTATGAATTGTTACCCTACTGCATGTTCTGTCTAATCTGAGTTTATATCTTAAAACATGCAATGATGTCTCTAGCATTCATGTAAGGCAAACTCAGAATATTTATTTCTTAGGTTTTTGTCTTGCCTTTTATTACTAAATGAATGCTGTTCATAACATGTCCTAAAAACTATGACAAATATATATATATATACATACATACATACATATATGTTTTCTTAAGTTTTCGCGGGTACTTACATGTATGGCATTCAGCTTTGTTCGGGTATTTTCCCACGTCATTGTAGTTG